TTGATACTGGGTGAATAAACTACCATCGTCACCAAAACTATGTTCGATTTTCTATTCATTCACCAATACAAACTAGACCCCAACATAATACTAGGTACCTGTTTCACATTGTGGCTTTTATTACTATCATCATTAAGTTTATTCAAATGAGGTGATTATTTCGCTTAAAGATATTGTACAGTGAGTGAATTTGTTGAATTATTACGTGCTGAGGATTTCATACTGTATCACAAGTCTTGTTTGGAATAAAGCTATTATTATTGTTACTGCTGAATCGCCATGGTCAGTCTCCGAACTAGATGAACATATCACAAATCGACCAATGTACTCTGATCAGCACTAAAACAAGAAAATATGGAGTTGACTAATCAATGTTTCTCATCCGATCTTACGGAAGGTCGATTGCGACCAGAATAGCTCAGTAGTGATTTCTCCAATTGTAGCACTGGATGAGGTGGGTTTGAACCTCAAACAAGGTAAGACTCCCGTCGAGGTTGCAGATGTACCCTGCTGATGAGTGTCAAAAAATACGAATCCTAGTTCCAAGGCTTCTTGCCAACTGTCTTCATCTGACTACCATCTGTCCCAGTGCATCATGACAGTGAGTCTACTAGCTTGATGTTCACACCTCAAAATGTTCGATAGAATTAATCAGCATTTAGGACTAGACAATATGAAGTTGGTTACCATCCAATGACCAATCAGTGTATGTAATCCAGTCCTACAAACGGTCAGTCGCGACCCGAATAGCTCAGCGGTAACTTCTTTCACTACAACACCGGGTGACGTGGGTTCGAGTATCAAGCGGGACATCAGTTCCATAAGAGCTGCATATGAACCTTCCTGACGAGTGCCAACATGCACGGGATCTATGTCCATAGCCTCCTACTGACTGCCTCCATCCATCTAACATCTATTCAAAGAAAACTGTGAGTAGTAGCAGCGCATTCTTTTGAAAATGGACACATGATTAATTCAGATGATGTTGACACTGCATGAAAGAACATCAGGTTCAGAAAAGATGTTTCCCCCAAAATTCTTAAATCCCTAAATTAAATCCATTGAAATGAAAACAAAAGTAACATTATACTGGTCATCAAATAAGAGAAGTTAACTATCAAAACGTGACTGGTATAAATGCGACGAAAGTGTAAAAGCTATTCTTGTTCACATCCATGAATGTGGTGGTTTGTATAAACACCTTTTTAACAGTTAGACAGGTATCACGTCGAGCGACCTGTGTTTGCACCAATCACGTTGGTGATGTACGCTAAGATAACGAGTATGCAGATATTCATATGCATCCCTTTTATCTGTGAACTTATTTTAGTGTTAAGTTGGTCGGTTTGGTATATTGGATTCGTGAAATTAAGCTCAGTGGTGCCTTTGCAGTGAAGACAGGAGTAAGACAAGGTTGCCTACTATTACCTATCATCTTCCTGACTATGGTCGACTGGACAGGACTGGATCATTCTAGAAGCTGTGGGGAGTGAGAAGAGGAGCATACGCTGTTTGACCGATGAAAAGACCCTAGGAGATTTGGAGTTCGCCGATGATGATTTATGTCAAATGTCTTGTCGCACAAAATGGAAGATGTACAGGCGAAAACCAATAAGTTGGCAGAAAGAGCAAGGCAGTGAAGGAAGACGGGACTTCCTACAGGTCAACGTAGAGAAGACAGAGGTGATGAAAATACCCAACCACCACCAACAGTAACAACAAGCACCAATCACCACCAACAGGAGAATTCTGAAGGAAGTTGTCTCTTTCACCTACCTACCTACCTATGCAGTATCGTTTCAACTACAGGTGTCAGAGGCGGTGGTGGCACAGATGAGGATGTCAAAGTCAGGATAAGAAAGACAACGAGACAGGTCTTCCTTGATTCATGTGGAATCAAATCGATGTGGAGATCTACTGCACTCATCACAAACAACAAGATCCGGATTTTCAACATTAATGTCAGTCAAGTAAGTCAGTGCTTCGATATGATAGTTGAGCGACTTGGCGCGTTACGAAAAGCACTCCGAACAAACTGCAGACATACATCAACAGCAGCTGCTGCCTACGCTTACTCGATACTGAAGATCAGATGGATGGCCAAAAAAACTGAGAGTAAGCAGCAAGGAACTCACTTTGACAACGAACAACCGACCAAGGACCTATCACCTAACAAATATGTAGAATAAGAAAAAGGAGATGTATTGGGTTGGATTGGACTTACATTGAGAGGGAAGACCGTTAGGGGACATTACGCACCATGTCAGGCCGTCGAGTGGAACCCAAAGGGGAAACGACGAGTTTGTCGTCCAAGGGTGACATGGAGGAGATCATGTGAGGAAGAAATGAAAGCTTATAGGGAGTCGTGAAGCCAGGCTGAAAGGACTGCAGAGAAGAGAGTGAAATGGTAACGTGCTAGTGAAGCCCTATGTTCCACTAGGAACTCCATGGGAAATTAACAGTAGTATTACTGATGCAGCCAGTTATGTCATTCCAGAGTAATATTTAACAAATCCATTCATATCTCATGTTTTAAAGGCTATTTGTTTATCCTGTTTATACAGTCTAAACTTTCCCTTCATCTTCAATTATCACTGAATATTTGTATTAGTCTGCAAAACCACAGCTGTTATCTCAGATAGTCAAAATGTTAATCATTGTGATGCTCCGCTTGTCTCTAATTCAGTTAGATTTGGATTGGGGTAAGAAGTCCTGACTAGGCAACCAGTGTGGATAAGATCGAGCGGTAGTAAAGCGTCACTAATTGACATGGTAGTGGGGCAAACCCCCGATGCTGACTGAAGTGAAATAAAAATCTTTTTAGTAGTTGGGACTTATAGATCAATTGTTGAAGATTCGGGCCAGAAGGGCGGTGGTCGCTGGTTTGAATCGATCGCGGTCCCAATTTTATTTTGCCTTCAATCATCACCCAGTATCAACACTTGCCTGCCAAACCACAGTTATCTCAGATAGTCAAAATGATATTTGATTATCTATGAATGAAGGCAGCTAGTGGTCATCTAATTTAATTTACTCTCAAATTTATTGTTGGTTGATTCTCATAGTTTGCTGGGAGATGGGATCTTATACAGATGCCCTGAAACTGTCTGGATACTCCTTATACTGTGGTTGATGTTATGGCTAGCAGTGGAGTTAAGGGTGCGCATTCCGTCCTGTTTAGAACTCGTCGTCCGGATGTACCTGAATCCTAGTGAATGATGTTATTCCCATTGAGACACGAATCCAGTACCCAATGCTCAAAAAGCCAAAGGTTTTAAGTTCATTTCACTTTTGATTTGGTATGATTTCCTCCTCCTTCAACTAGAAATCTTTACGTGTTCGTGTTATAGCCTAGTTATATGTGTATGTATGAGTGGAGACTTTAACAAAGACCTTCAGATTTTACCCTTGATGGTAGCTCAAATGCTTGGTAGATTGAAAAAAGACGCTAAGATAACAGAAGGTGGATTGCAGTGTCAAAATATACACAAAAATATTTTTTGATTTATATGTATATTTACAGTGGTCTTGAGTATTTCTAGACCTTTCTAGGATGGTATATCCTATTGGCTTTTGGCTCTTCGATCAGTCTGGTATTTACGAATTGCCTCACGTACATTTTTTCGAAACTTAAAGGCAGTGCTATTAGTTGTGGAAGGTTTCAAGGGTTTCGGGCTTCTTATAAAGATCTTGAAAATATTTTCGCACATTCATCCATTCATCCAAATCAACATAGGACCAGACATTACTGAGTAACAGTTCGAGTTGCCATAGCTCATATCAGTACATCAGGTAAAAAGGCAGTGAACTGCAAGATGACGAAAGGAAAATTCAGTCAAAGAAATATAAATTACTAAGTGAGAGAAAGGAAGAATAAGAAAATGGTGAGATTCGGTATAGCGTTAAGATGAGGATAATATGTGTATACATCTGTGCCACTGAAATCAGTTCTGAGCCATGTGATCACCTGGAGTCTCCAACCACTGGCTTCTCTTGTCCCATGAACCCCAACTGGCTAGTCTACATCACCCCACATGGCTCAAACCAACAGCCAGAGACTTCATACATTGATACCATGTTTTAGGCTGGCCACCTCGAGTCTTTATCCAGCTTTAACGTACTTCGATCAACATTGTATGATGAGGCAATCGGCGACTAGGCATACGTAACACATGTCCCAACCATCTTAGTAGATGAAGGATCGCACAATGTAACAATTTGTATATGACATAAATTATTTCAGTATGATCTTGATATTTACCTGCTGTAGCGTTATGGTAAAAAAACCTCTTTTTTAAAATTTTTTTATATTTTTCGTCAGAAATAATTTCAGCAACCGAATTTTCATTCAAAACTACCATTGTTAAGATATTGTTCAGTAATTAAACATCTTCATGCATTGATAAGTTATGCTTTGTCGTCGTGAAAGAAAAACTAATGGCTTTCAAGAAAGACAATGATGAATGCCTTGTGGACTATAGCATTCCCGTTAGTTGCGAGTACCTTCATTGGTGTAGACAAGGTTGTGACTTGGATCTTTGAGTCAGAGGGGGGTGTATGGTGTTGTATAAGAATATTCCCAATAGAGATGAAGCTCATAACTACTTCTTCATGTTACTTGGAGTTATTTCATTGTCATTCTTTACAACTAATGTTATTTTTGGAGTAGCTATGAAGAAAATGTATCATAGGTAACAAATATTTTGATTAACCAATTGATGGCTAGTACGTTATTATGATTTTGTACTGTTGAGGTTTATAGCAATAACTCAGAACTATTGTATCCTTGGTTTCCACTATCTATTAGTGTTATTCACTGGAGGCGGCCGAATAGCTTGCATATTCCCGAGTTACCGACAGAGGCGTGCTGGCGATTACTTTCGTCATGACTACCTTTGACGTTATTTCATAGGGTCTTAAAAGTCATATGCTTGACTGTTTTGTGTATAGATTCCTCTTAAGTACACCATGATTAGTTTGACTTGAGATTAAGGTGGTTAATGAGTATCCAGTGTTACGTAAGTCTCTGCGTAACTTCAATGATGCTGGATGAAATCCTCATAACTATGGTAGTTTAATATCCATCAATGCATTATGACTTACGGAATGGGGTGTTCGATTGGCTTTACAGTATCAATTAGGTGGAGTCAACATCAAACCGCTTTAAAGTTCTGATTTCCTCTAGTCATTCATTTCCACGGACCACTCGTTTATATCACCACGGTCTTGTTGTAAAAAGCTTTCAGCTCACAACAAGCACGAAAAAAACCTGATAATCTGCAAGTTATTTACAAATTTCTCACAGTTGACGAGTCTTTTTTTAAACTGCCCAACTGTGGTGTCAACAGGGGGTTTCCTTTGAATAATACTCCGCAGCCAAGATCTCTGAAACACACAAGTGTCATGAACTAGTGGAAGATCCTACGGCATTGACACGAAGTGTAGAAATTAACAAGACGGAGACGAAAGAAGGAATATTTCCTATGGGCATCTTGCACAGTACTCATCAAATATGTCACATCTTGCACTAAGACAGACAGTTTAGTAAAAAACTTCATTTCCTCTTCTGCTATTATCTTGATTTGCTCTTCATACCCTCACATTGTCCCCTGCGATTCTCTTCTCAGAATTTTTACCCATTGCTGGGAATTTCCCATATTTTTTGGCGCCCTCTCAACATATACTACTTATATCCCTTCTCATCAACGGCGAGCACTACACTACTACTGAACAACTCGAGTAGTTAGAAATCATTCAGGCTGATCTGCAGTACTTTACCAGCCAGATCACAGTGATGTAGACGCCTTGAGTTATTTACAGACAAGTAATCATGACAGTTGTGGTATAACGAAGTTGGCTTGATAATACTTGTTCTTTTGCCAGATAAGATATCGTGGTAGTATCTTAGGCAGCTTGAGTGTACACTACCTGCCGGTTGCATTATGCATAATTTCAGAGATATGCCCGTTTGAAAGTTCGATTTCATCAGTGGGGGAGGGGGGTTTGCATTACTTATTATTGAGGTAAGCAAATTGGACTAGAAGCAGATCGTCGAGCGATGATGTTGTGTCAAGTAAGTGGTCTTTATCATTTCTCTTCTTTTAAATTATTTTACTAAACATGTTCAAATTCACTTAGGAATGTGGAAAACTCCGTTCAGTTACGATTGCAAACCGATCTGACAGTGTCATTAATAAATGCTTTCGAACTGTTTTCCCAAATAGGATTGGAAGCCTGAAATAATTCATATTTACTTTTCTGAACAAAAATCCATCAGATAGAAGTGGAGGGTAGTGGCTAGCAGTGAAACATGCGTTTCTTCCTACTTAGAACTTGCCAGTTGGAAGTATCTGACTGCGAGCGGGTAGTGCTGTTCCCCCTAGGATTCGAACCCATGACCGATCTATTTAAGTACCAAAGCGTCACCAGCTCCTTATGCTATGTTATTGTGTAAGAAGCGGCTTTCATGACTCAGTGGCAAAGTGGAAGGTTCTCTCGCTCTTGAAGCTATCTACCATGGGTTGGAGTCTTGGTGGGAACAAACTGACTCATTGGAAGTCAGGTACATCCAGCTCATGAGTCCCAAATAAGAAGAAATATGCATCATGGATTCCACTGCTAGTCACTACCCATCATTACTATAAACTTTCAAAGATGATTATTCGATTTTCATGTGTATTTCTTGCTTTGCTCGTTAACATTACACTTAAGTTGTACATTCTCGCCAGTTAGGTGTGTATGTTATAGTATGTAGAAAGATTGACAAAATCTTCATAAGAGACCGTATGTGCTTAAGGCCTATTTTCAACCAATCAATGTGCTTCGAAATTTCGGAAACAAACATGTGAACCAATATGTAAGTATCAGGTTGGTTGGAGAGATGAGAAATCAATAGAAGTTATATCTAGTAGGCCTGGAAATAGACTGGGCCATTGTTGTATATACAAGCCTTGTAATTTGTATATGTATTGTTGACGTTGTGAATACATCTCTTCTAATACCGCCTTTTTCTACTTACAGGGAGACTGAATGACAAGTAAGGGTGGGATCTGAAGGTATTGCATAAACCTCCTCACACATATAATTCAGGTTGTATCAAGTCACTGGTAAAGATATAAACACCAGCGACTGGGGGTATATAAAAATATACAAAGTGTGGTTTCAACAGTTTAGTGAATGAGATCACCAAAAATAGTCTGTTTACTGAACTACTTACTTTCATTTGCTTATTCCTCATATTCGCATTGACAATTTCGATGAAAAGCAGTACTGTGAAGATTATCGACCACTGTAAATATTCACGGTGAGCAGAAGTTACTGCGTAACAGACCCTATATCATAAATATATACCGATTCAGAGAATATAGACAACACCATGGAAGATTATACCATAAAGTTTAGGCAGAATAAAAGTGAAATGATTACCTGTCTGGTTCTCTTGTTGAATGATACAAAATGAAGAGTGTTAAATTAGTCAACTGTTCACCTGAAATTGCAGACTAGTTCTACTTATCATTCCGACAGTTTTATTGTCTTCTCTTAATTGACTTTCAGCTTCCTATAAGAAATGAGATTTATGGTATTATCGTTTCATCCAGTTTGTTAACTACCCATAAATGATTCATTCAGTTGAATATCACAGTCTGTTGACTATAGTTCTCTTTACTAGGAGGGTAATTTTACTGAATAAACTTTTTTGATTGCAACTTTACCTCGTAAATTATTCTTAGTCTTTTTCTCTTTTTTTTATCTTACAGAAAAATCAAGTTCGTTATCTGAGCGAGAATCCCCACTCACAACAGGTACAAACTACGGAATTAAACTCTCAATTGAATAAAATTGTGCAAGTAAGAGAGTTTACCTACCTATTGCTAATTGCTAACATATGAATACTCTAAAGATGTTGATCACTGGAAGGAGGGTAACCAACTTCATGTTGTCTTATCCTAAGTTCCGATCTAGTTCTGTTGATCACTTTGCAATGTGATCAGTAATTGAGGAGACTCATCGGCGTGATGAACTTGGATAAGTGTTAGTTAAATAGAGACAGTTGCTAGGACGCTTTGGACTTAGGTTTTGAGCTTTTTGACACTCATCAGCAAGGTGTATCTGCCTGCTCCAGAGGACTGATGTCCAATCTGTGACTTGAACCCACTTTACTCATTGCAGCAGTTAGAAACTCTCCTACTGAGCTATTTAGGCAGCGATGGTGAATTTCCTAGATTGGTCGTCACACTAAAGAATGATCCATACAAGTCAGTTAGCACTTGGGACTAGACAACATCAAATTGGTCACTGTCCAATGACCGATCAACGTATCCAGTCCACTCCTATGGAAGGTCAGTCGTGGTTCGAATAGCTCACGCGCACCGTCTCTGATTGCAATATTGGGTGACGTGGGTCCGAATCTCAGAGGGGACAGTAATTCCATTGAGGTTGGAGACAACCTTATTGACGTATGCCAAAAATCACGAAATCCAGATAAATTGGGTCTTTCTGCTGTTTGCCATTACCCAACTAACTTAAGTATCATTACTTTTTTTTCATTTTGTTCCGTTTTATATCTTTAATCTCTATGAAAAGCAGTACTGTGTGATTACTGTTCATGAATATTATCAGGTATGACATGACTGAAAAACAAAGAGGGATTTTTATCCAGTAATAGACTTCGATGAACCATTTCAAATGCTCTTTTGTTGTTGATATTTTGTGATACAGAGAAAAATGTCATTTTTTGGGTGTTTTTCTGTAAATCAGAGGACTCTTTCCCCATTCACTTTCACTTCTTGTCTGACTTACTAGTATACTGGATAGTTACCAAACATTTTTGTCCGAGTTTTAACTGAATTTACTCAAGTCGGTTTCTTGTTTTGCTGAAAAACAGGCTACTCATTAATAAGACAGTTTTAGTATATTGCTGAAAGTATCACTTCAACTTTGAGAATAACTGCCTGTGCTTGTATATTTCTTGATACCCTGATACTGAGTGAAGTTAGAAATTGCGGTTGCAGTTAATGAATACATAGATGAATTGAAACAACTAGTCGTTTAATAAACTAACTGATCAGTAGAATATTAGTGATGAATGAAATAAGCTTCGTTTGTTCACAGTTTAATCCCTATACTGTTTTCCAGGAGTCACAAACATGTAGACGGATAGAACTTGTGTCACTATGCGAATAAAGTGATCAATCCATCTCTGATGGACACACTAAAAATCAGATTGACTCCATTTCAATCTCAAGAAAGTGGAGACGCAAGCTACTGGACATAAGGTCAAGAAGAGGAGTAGATGTGCAAGGAACCTTCAAAACCAAGTTGAAACCCTTCGAAGAAGCTGATGATAGACTACAGTTCAAGTTCAACACCCACCCAGAAACTGAAGGAAGAAACTATAAAGGACACGTTCACATCGGTCATCAGGAAAAAATAGGGACAGTAAGCAATACCCCCGAGGAAACTTGCGTGGAAGAGCACTGGAACTCTGTGAATGCAAGGAGAGAAAAGTACCTGCCAACTGGAAGAAGCGCTACCTTATCAAACTCCCTAAGAAAAAAGACATAAATCTTTGCAAGAACCAGCGCTTAATCATGTACCATTCCACCTATAGGCGACGGCACAGATGAGGATGTCAAAGCCACAATCGGAAAGACAGCAAGATAGGTCTTCCTTCATTAATCTGAAATAATCAGTGTGGGTGGAGATCCACTGCACTGCACTGTACTGCACTACACTCAGCATAAAGCTCAAACAATATCCGTGTTTTCAACATTAATATCAGTCGAGTAACTCAGTGCTTCGATGTGATGTTTGAGAGACTTAGCAGGTTACGAAAGGCATTTCCAACAAACTACAGACAAACGTCAACAGCTGTCTATACTCGGTGCTGAAGATCAGATGGATGACCAGAATAATAAGAATGAGCAACAAGCAACTCACTCTGACAACGAACCAACCAACAATTTATCGCCCAAGAAATATACGGAACAAAGCAGAGATGAGTTGAATTGGATTGGACGTAGACTGAAAAGACCGTTTTTGGACAACATGTGTCAGGCTATGCCGTCGAGTGGAACGGAAATGGGAAAGGACGAGTTGGGCATCGGATGGTGACATGGAGAAGATTGTGTGAGGAAGAAATGAAAGCTCATGGGTATTCGTGGAGGCAGGTTGAAGAGACTGCATAGAACAGAGTAAAATGGTGGCGTGCTACTTAAGCCCTTTGTTCTACTAGGAAACAAAAAACAAATAGTGATAATAGTTAAAAAGGTCAATGATTTCCACCCATAGATCAACTTCACATCAGAATTCGAAGAGAACTCAGAATTTCATTTTCTCGACGACCTACTGAGACGGAAACTGGGTGGTTCTCTTCAGAAATCAACTTGTTGGAAGCCTACGTGGAATGGATAATATTTGAATTTCCATAGCTGGGTACCTCTTATCAGAAAAGGAAATACGATAGATTCTTTATCTTCAAGCATCAGAAGAATCTGCACGAGTGATACTGTCGACGATGAATTAGACAAACTGCGGAAGATACTAATGCGAAATGGATACCATCCAGATTTGTTAAGAATTTGACGTTAAAACAGAACGCGGAGTAGGCAGCCACAGTTTTAAAGAAGACCTTGTTTATGAACGTCGGTTTCAAAGGCGACACGGCAACAAAGATCCTAAAGAATTGGCTGTGCAGATAGCTGAAGAAGACATTCTTCTCTGCGAAGCTGCAGATCAGCTTCTCTAGTCAGTAACTGGTTCCTCAGTGCGTTAAGGATAAGTTGCCGCTTTGGGCCACCTCATTGTCTGTCTACAAATTTACTTGCTCCTGTGGTGCTAGTTATACAGGCCGCACAGAGTGCACACTTTCCAAACTTATCTCTCAGCATTGTCCTGCGTCGTTGTCTACGGGAGAATGTAAATCAATTAAAAGTTCAATTCTTGAACATTTGGTCAACTCTGGACATATAGCTCCACCACAGTCCTCCCTCGATGTCATTTATAGAGTCAGATGGAACAGTTCAAAAAGAGTACGCCTTCGACAGTTATGCTTAGCAGAAACACTGGCAATTCATCAATTCAAACCTCATCTCTGAGTGCAGAAGAAGTATGTGGAATTTCTTATCTTACCATGGTCTTAACACTTTCACATTTTTCGATTTCATTATAATTAGTTAGTTTACTGTTGTCACCTTCATTATGACCCTTGTCTCATTCTTCACGTTCTTCACATCTATCTATCTATCTATCTATCTATCTATCTATCTATCTATCTATCTATCTATCTATCTATCTATCTATCTATCTATCTATCTATCTATCTATCTATCTATCTATCACGTGGATACTCAATATTCTCATGTATCATCTGCCAACAATTTTCACCTTATCAAACTCCTTGCCTTGCTCGTTATTTCTACTGTCTAAAAGATTATTACGCAACTACCTTAAAATGTTTGGTTTCAGTCTTTAGCATTAGCTTAATAATACAATTATACACTGTTATATGTTTATGATATATATAAATATGGGTGACGATTGAAGGTGAAATGAAGATTTGCACCGTGGCCGGATTTCAAGAACAGATCATCTGGTTTCCGCTTCGATGCTCTACCAACTGAGCTACGAGGTCCGACTGCTGACCAGATTTTTATTTCACTTTATTCACCAAGGGTTTTGCTCAACTATCATGTGATCACATTCACACTAACTGGTTGCCTATTCAGGACTTCTCATCCGAATCCAAATCTAACTGAATTAGAGCTGGGGAGCATCATATTGAATATCGTTTCGACTATGAGGGACAGCCATGGTTTGGCAGACTAGTTTTATACTGGATGGTTGCTGGTTCGAATCCAGCCGCGGTCCAAATTTTCATTTCACCTTCACCCATTGTAAATACTAGTCTGGAAAACCATGGCTACCTTCGATATTCAGGATGATGATACATGAATACGACTGTACAGCTTGAGAAAATGATACTGTTGAGAAAGAAAATCTTCTTTGCTGAATTATCCCGTCTTTTCTTGATAAAAAATACACTATTTTCTGTCATTCCAACTTTGAGCATCTTAAAAAGATGAGAGATAACAGGGATGTAACTTCATACTTGGTTCTTTTCGTGTAAAACATTGAGAATTTCCTCCAACTTTTGAACTGCCAAAATATGCAAGCAGAATTCTTACCATGATAAGAAATAACAAGCAGTTCTGAAAGTTATCACATCCACTTAATTAAAAGTCAAGCAGAAAATTATTTAAAAAAAAAAAACACGAAAATTTAACTTTCTGCTGTGAAAATTTCTCAGAAGCACACATCAATGAACATTTCTAACGGGGAAAACCAGAGTATTTCAGCTTTAATTGGTGATTGTTGAAGATAGAAAATACAGAATTTAAACCACAAGATCGGTTTGATGCAGTATAGTCACCAGTTTTGAAAAATTTACTACTTGCAAGAAGTTGACCAGTCACTCATTCATCGGTTTTAGGTTCTTCTTCATTAACCTTGACTAAACTTTTGTGCATCTAAACCTTCACTAACAGTCAATTTAGTGACCTTATCGAAGAATAAATTGTTTCTCAAGCGTATAACTTTAAATCCTACTGTTTGTTAGCGGTCCGTTGGATGTTGACTGAATATATATTGGTAAGCACTGAAAAACTGCTGACAAGTGTAACTTTGTGATACTGGGCAACTTCTGCTTGAATACCTTTGTCTCAACAACTCAACAACTTGTAACTTATCAAATTATATTTAGATGGTAGTCAGTAGTAAGTAGAGCAGCGGTCAGAAAGTCGTATTTCATAGTTACTGAATAAGTGTACAGCTTCGTATGGAAAGTTGG